TTAGCCACATCTACTTCACGCTATCGGTGTCACTCTGGCACAAGCTTTGTTCTAATCCTCCATGGAATTGTCTCCATTCGTATTTATTCAGAAACTTCCTCCAGGTCTATGAACGTCATGTTAATGTCTTTGAAGCCTTCTCCGTATGTTTCGAGAAAAGATCCTAAAGCAAAGATGGCATCCGGTCAGCACACTTTCGAATAGCTTAATGGTGTAACTGAGCAGTTCAATTCTCTGAAAGGTGTCACATTAGGCATGCCCCCTTCATTTTGTACATTGGCATGAAAATACTCTCTCCATGATTCCGGTATCTTTTCAGACTCCATCATTTTATTAAATAGTGCACAGAACCAAACCACGCCTTCAAACCTCTACCCCTTCCATGCCTCTATGAAAACTTCGTTCGGGCTAAGGGCCTTTATATTTTTGATTCGGCTTTAGGCTTGTTCCGCTTCGTCAGGTGAGGTCTTTTCGTCTATTCTCTGATTTCACTGATTCTCTTCAGCTGTCTCTCTGGGATGTTCTTCGTTTAGTAACGTTTGGAAGTTCCTTCGCTATCGGTTGCGAATATTTTTCTCGTCGATTGCCATGAAGTCTTTGCAGAAGTCTTTTATGTACTTCGCTTTACCGATGTCTTTTGTTTTTCTTTCTCTCGTTTTGGCTATGCCATAGATATCTCTCCCTCATTCGTTGCCAGTGTTTCATATAAGCCATTGCACGTCACAGACTTGTTTGCTTCGGCAACAGCTTTCTCTGCTTCCCTCGTTGATATGCGTATTTTACTAAGTTTTTCGCTCTGTTTGATAACTGCCATTTATTGAACAACTCTTTCTTCTATCGCAGGGTCGCATGCACTTCCGCATTCCACCACCACCTTCCTTTATGAATATGTGCTATTCCTTTTGTTTCTCCGATTGTAACTCTCGTATTCCCTATGATTATGCTGGGTCATTGGCTGCCACATTTCGGTCTTCCTTCATCATTTTTCTTGTAACTTCCATCATAATTGATTCTTTCCGCTTCCCTTCGAGCTACCATTACTTTGCCTCTGCGGCTGTCGAGGCAACAACCGTTTCAGATAGAGGTCCGGTCAGTAAACATTGCTGGCTTACGACAGATTCCTCCGGGAGAACGTTGCAGTTTCTGATGTTTTTCAATTCGTCCCTTCACAGCAGAAATTATTCGATCAGACTTTTCATTTGATTGCTGTTGTGGGTTAGCAAGCGGCGTTCTCTATTCTGAAAGAGCGTGTTTGTCATAGTCATATCATATGCAGCTGTCATCTGCGAGATGTTCGATATCTCCTTTACTTGACAAACCATATGCATATTCGCCATGGATCGTGTCAAAACCCATCTGATGTTTTTAGACATGCCCGTGAAGGTCACCCAGATTACTAGCTTTCCATTCTGCGCTGTTTTGCAGTGCCCTCTCTCTCTCTCAAAATTTCGACTTTTCAGTTTGATTTTGGCCAGTCCGAAGAGCGTAAGAGCTTACGATGTTGAGGATATCACTTGCCAAAATTAACTTAACGCCCATGACTCTGTGATTAACTTCGAATACCTTGTCTTTGATCGCTTCATTCAGTACAACTCCCAATCGATTTCTGATGCTTGATGCTCCGACTTTTCGCTTTTCCCTTCGCCTCCCAAATTCAAGAAATCTGAGCTTTTGTTTTCTGAAGAGCTTACACTAACTCCACCCCTTTTTGCATCATGCTCCGGAGTTCTTTGTAGCGTTACTCATTTCCTCGGTTCGTTTTCAGCAAGGCAATCTTTACATCGGTGATTATTGTCATCACTGAATTTCGAAAATCACGGACTGATTTCCTTGCGCATTTCGCATAATCTCCGAGATTTGCTGCTGCACGCCACCTACGAGGAACGCGCAAACATTCTTTTTAGAGGTAAAGTGATTTATCATATTTACTTTTGTCATTTATTTTTACGGCCGGCTTCCTGCCTGATGCCAACCCGTCTTTCGCAAGAAGAGTTGAAACGAACTACGGCTCTTGCGATTCAAAACATGCTTATTTGAATGCTGGCGACACGACAGCAGCATGTGTTCGCCGTGTCACTCTACTGTCATCGAATCTTGAGGTATTTTCTAGAGCAAATTTTGCCATAAGTTGGTTCGCTGCATCCTTGTAGCACCGTCGTAATGCTGTCTGCGACTAATTATTATTCGTCAGCCTCTGTGCTTATTTCGCAACTCTCCCTCATATCTGAGGATTGTCCTACAATCCGCGACCCGTAGACGCTCTCGTCGACCTCAGCATTTGACCTTGCCTCGATACTGCTCACGAAACGGTATAACAAGCCAAGGCGATGAACGTTTATAGACCGCAGATGTCGCAGCAAACAGCTATGAACATATTTCTGGTAACAGACAATTTTGATCGACAAGCTGCCAGCTGGCAGTGCATTAGATGGTTTTCGTAAACTAGATTTTTCACAAGGTAAGCGGTATTTTTCAACCTGATTGGACGGCTATATCTTTATACAACTTTTCAAAGCGCTAGGAGTTCAAATCAACGTTTGTATCTCGCATCCAGTCTTTGTGGTCTAAACGTGCTGAAACGAAACAAAAATACGATTTTAATGGGAAAGTGACCGTAGTGTCACTACAGCACTAAATTCGTGGCCTGAGGATTTTTTCGGAATAAAGCAATTGTCTTTGCAACTATTTTTGTACTTCCGCCGTAGCAGCAGGACTGAATGTCTCAAAACAAGCTTCGGGCCCATGCATCTGCCTTAATGCTTTGTTGATGAAGTCACAAAAAGGCCCCACCGTTTCCTAGCCAAGATGGTATGCTTTGACAGTACTGCACAATTAGATGATTAATGCCTGTTTGACGAGTTGTTCTTTGACGAGTTTCTTTCGCCAATGACTGTGGTGGCTAGCTGACTGTTGAACGCTCGCCCTACTTACTTTTCTAGCTGCATCATTTCCCGATCGAGGTTCAAATTCGCGCTTAATTCAGAGATGGCAATCTTCTTTACCCCACTGTTGTGCTTCTGTGAACTTGTTATTTTTGTTCTCCTCGGCGACTATTCATTTTTCTAGCTGAAGGTACGATGCCTGTCCTTTAATTTTCAGTTCATCAATGCAAAACCCTCCACGATTACATAGTAATTTATAAGTGCAGGCTTAGAATATGACGTTATAAAGCGACAATGTTACAATTTTGATATAATCCATTAATTATTTATTCACAAGTATGATCAAGTTTATTTCAACTTCATCCTCACCTCCCCTATGACCGCTATTCTTTTCGGATCGCGGAGGCAGGCAGACGCGTCAGACAGTGCTTCAAACGGTCCCATTCCTGTGCCAGTCTGAACTTCGGCGAAGGCGATTAAGTTCATTTTCGATACTAACATCCTATTACTTCTGTTAATTAAAATCAGTTTCATTGTTCTGTGGCTTGAAATCATTCATTAACTCAACCGGGAAATTGTTTTTGATATAGACACGTCTCTATGATTCAATTTTATTTTTCCTTTTGAAAATTCCTCATTACAGTTTCAGAACTCTTCCCATTAACTTGTAATTACGATTCATTTATTGCGTACAGCATTACCAGATAAAAACGAATGTTTTCAATTATAGTGGGTTTTGCGATATAATTTATGATTTATGATACTCAAAACTGAAGTACTGAAATATCAAAAGCGGTACTTGCCATATCCTCTTGTTTCCTGATTTTGATCAATAATTTCAAGGTAAAGGATACTGAAAAGGTCAGAAGCTTTGGTTTGATCTTTTGAAAAATTCGTTTCTAAAAACGTTTGAGAATAGGGTTGACGTTAGACGATTGGACAAAATTTTCTACAAATATACTAACAACATTTTTAATGGGCACGCATCACAAAGGAGTTTCTGTAGTTCAAGAAGCATTCTTTCTCACAGAGAAGTAAGTTGCCATATAAACCAACCGAGCTCTACTTCTCTTCCTTTTGGCGAAACACATCAGACAGCTTCAGTGTTGTCGAGGCATTTACGTAAAGAAACTGCTCCTTCCGAAGTCTGTCCGATATATAATATCGATACATCGGTATAATACGATATATCGGTATTATATTACATATATTATTTACAGGCACACTCTGAAAATGTGAATTCAATTTCTAACATGTCGCTTATCGGGATGTCGCTATGCGTATTTATCAACAACCGGTCGGTAAAAGATAAATGGCCATTCAGCAGAGTGTCATTACCCCACTATAGTAAAACCTGTTGGCTTAATATTCAACAATTTGTTCATGGCTGCGGTCAGGTAATAAAAACATGCCACAATCGGAGGAGAAAAGTTTTTAACCGCAAACTTGCTACGGTTTAAATAATGTTTATTAAAAACAATACCGTGTGATGTTTCATTTGCCGATACAAAACCGAGAAAATATCTTATCTAAGATTTCGTCGACCGACACTTTGCCAGACAGTTTTCCTATATTGTACAGCGCACTTTTCAGCTTTTCGGTTTTGATGACGACGTCTTCGCACTGCAAACCTGCAGTAATATCTTCGACCATAGATTCAACTAGCCTCCTATGGCGATGGTTGGTGAAGCAAGGCATCGGAGCAGTGAAACATTTATCACACCTGAAAATAATATGCAATTATTTAAACAGTCGAAAGTTAAAAGGAAGTCGTAGTGGGGCAAACAATTACAAGTACAAATGAGTCAATGAACAACCGTACTTTTTGTAACAGCTTCATGTTAAACTTAAACGTGCTTCCGAATCAATAAAGCAAGCTGTCAACTGATTGAAGACGTAAAACAAAATATTTGATACCAGCTGACGATACTACTTTAACAAACATTTTGATCAATAGCGGCCTTCATTACGTGATCTTTTGGTTTGACATTTGTACATAATTTCCAGGTTCCTACCTCACAACGAAAAGATTTTTCTGACGCCGATCCTGCTGATTCGGTGCCGAAAGAATTTCTTATTAACAGATAGTTTTGTGAATAGTTAAAAGAGCCCATAATCATAGAAATTTCTTTAGCAATCGACATTTTAGGAAACATAGTGTCCAACATCAGGGTCGCGATGAAGAAACGAAAGTTTCTAATCGCTGTACTATGGGTCTTTCTAATGCTTACACTACTGGAAATATTCTAGCACCCTAATTTTCATGGTGGAGTCACTGATATGCCATCAGCCAGGAGTGCCTTATTTTTTAAAGGCAGAATCGCTGCAACACATTCTGTTTCTTTGTTTCTATCCCACTCATTTATTAGAGTAGTATTAGTTTATCAATCTCTGAAGAAATGAAGGCTAACCTGGCTCAAACCCAGGACCCTTCGGTTCTGAGTCCAACATTCTACCGACCGAGTAAACCCAGTTACAAGGAACGTGTAGTAATTTCATTACTCACGGGAGTTCTTGGTAAACACAGACTGCCCGTTGTGGGAATCGAACTCGACACTTCAAGAGTGCCACCGTGGCAAAATCGCGATGACATGAGATAAAGAAACAACAGTTTATAATACAATACAAGATAGTTCAATATGTAGCACAACATACCACCGTCAACTTGATGTCATTACGTCACAGCATTTTCCTTTATTATTCTGAAATATGGACTGGCTTAAACTGTTCATATCTCCAAAGTTCTGCGGGAATCGAACTATCTGTCGTATGAGGGGAGGGGGGCAAATTTTTATGCTTTGTCGTATATCTCCATAACCCAATCAGTATTTAAAAATCCAATCTTTTCCATGGATAAAGTCGACTATAATTTCAGGTCAAGCATTTATCCATTCATAATAACTAAGTTACTGAAGTACAAACAGATCTGCCGCGGAACTTAAAGTAATCAGTAATAAGTTAAAACAGTCTAGGAAACCGACGTTTTGGAAGAGTCGGATGTTATTAAGATGAAGGCCAGAAAGATGCAAAAAGAAAGGTACCATTATACAAATTTTTAACTTAGGATTTACAGATTGTGGCCATCTTTTATCAGCTATCACATTCGAACCGGGGTCACGGCGAACTATGATCGTTAAGCCATGGCCTCGATCAGCATGACCATCAATATCACACCCTAAAATGACCACATTAAAACACAACATTGTCCCACTCATTCATAAGTCACTGGCTTACTAGTCTATTCTCAGCTGGTCGCAGAGCAGTGAAGCACAGTGCGGTGATTCCTTGCACGGTTAACCGTTAATAGGAGAAATTAGCCTTTCCTATTTGAATCGGGAAACCATAAAGTACAAAACAAGCTACTTACTAACCGATCCACAGCAGATACAATATATCACCTACTGGTGTAACGTTATATGAAACATTAAAACAACAATAACATCGAGGCATATAATGCACGAACTGCTCCCCAAAACCCAATATCCGATTCTCCATTACAACGAGCATGCAACGACATGGTCACATGATAGGACAAGACAGGTTGGATATGTAGTTTATCAAGAGAGATAACCAGTCGATATTCATATATACTGACATCATTTTCATTCAGCCCATATTGTTAATGTATGGTTTTACCGCATTACTGCCTATTCCTCAGTTTGAACCTACGACGTGGGATAAACGTAATCCTGCAGGAGATACTGTAACAACTCGAGATTAGAGGTAGACTTGCGACAGTGCGGTAAAACAGATTTATTAGTACTTGGAATAAACTGTGAATCAATTTCATTCTACAACTGCAAACTAATTTTCGCTAATACAGGTAAGGGGTAGTACATTCAAGTGTAAAGTGATACCACTGCTGACGTCAAAACACATCTGCACTGCTACAATAACCATAATCGTCCAAAAGGACATTAAAGAGGTTCTGATAACCAAGGCTGACAGAGCACCAAATATATTAAAGGAGATCCATCTGTGAAATGCGCGGTTTGATCAAACACCGACGAGGATTGGGAGCCACTATCCATACTAATTTTAAGAAAGCAAGAAGAAGTAGCATCAGTATGCAGTTTACCCTTGAAGAGCAGGTGACGACTAATAGGCAAAGCTAACAGAAGACTTGGATCATACCTGACAGCACAGAAGAAGAACACAATCATTCTGTACATTCGATGATCAGGTTCTTTGAAATTCAGGAGAAAGACATGTACAAACTTCTACATTAACGTTATCTGTTTTGGCCAAAGGACAACATTATTCAAATTGTCACTATCATAATCAGGTGATTAACTGAATTGAATTGTACCTTTCTTTATTGCGCCAAGAACTTGATGACGTTTTTAAGAAGTATTCAGCTTGTTATAGACTTAAATTTACTGAAGCAAGTGATATCGACTGCTGTTTTTAATACATATATTTTTTAAGAACATGTGGGTTGTGTGTACAAAAAATTGCTAGCGAAATGATTTCTAATTTTATGGTTGGTGTCACTGAGAAATTCAAAGGTATTTTACCGGACGATCGATATCTCTGACTGTTTTGACAATCAATCATCAGATGGAACCAGTGAAGGTCAAGGGATAAGACATACAAAGAACTATACATACTGCTATGAGCTAAATATTATTGCACACCGAATTCATCCTTTCATCGCTTCAACAGTGATCCTTCACACACACTGCACAGGACCTTCTTCTCTTATGTACCGTCATAGTAAATTCATAGAATTTTTCCACCTCCTGCGAGCCACTGGCAATTTTTAGTATTATGTAACATCAAAGCAGATATTTATTATTCTAACTGTTTCTTCATAAGAATAATATTTCATATCAATGACAAATGACAGTGATCAATGTTATTGTCTGTCTCGAGAGATGACAATTAATGTACAAATTCTGGCAGTACTACTGTGTCGAATTGCATAGATATTAGTCATATAACTAGGGTAAAGATCTCTCCATTTTGTGGTACAATTTGGCAACTACTGTCAGAATCTTCGATTTGTTTTCAGCTGATGAGCTGTCACTGTTCATTCAAAGGCTATACTGTGCCATGACAGGACTTCACCATGATTTTTGTAAAGATTAATATGTACGACCCATAATCCTTCCATATAATTTATAGACAGATGTTTGTTTTTTCTTCTCATCGAAATGAACAGCACCATCTCTAATACAACTGTCTCGTTACCGAACCGTTTCAAGCGTTCATGAACCTTCAAGAAAACAGATTCTACCATATTTCACTCTGTCATACGATTCTGTACTTTGGTGTCGTTGCCGATATCCACAAAAAGAATGTCGAAGCTAGAACGTTGTTACCACTTCAAGTGCATGTTTATGCATCTAACGTAGCCATTCGAGAAAATTATTGTAGAATACGTGTCCCCTGACAATATTTCAATTAAGTCAGTGGAACACGATAAGCATCAACATTAAAATCGTTACTAACACACGCGTGAGAATGACAAATCAGTTATGTAAGGTAGTCATAATGAAATATAACCTAACAGTGCAGAGTGTAGTTTCATCATGGCTTGTCTCATTTTATTTTATTTTTAATCTCGTTCTTCAACACAGGAAGGCAAACATTTTAAATGTTCAGATGGACTTCCTCGTTCTAAAACTTACATGGATTTGGCAACTGCTGTCACAGACTTTACTACGGCCTCGGTACCTTCTGTGGTAAGACATGATGACTGAATGACACGCAGCCGAGTACTTCGCCACTGGTACTCGCTGGTCGCCGCCAACACCTGGGCAGGAAGGAGATCGCATTTGTTAAAGACGAGCAATATCGCCGGAAGTTCGACCTCATTCTCGGCAGGTACGAGTTGCAGATCATTTAAAAACGCGTTCACTACAGACGTCGTTGCGTCGATATCTCGGAAAGACGGGTCGGTTGCATCAAAGACGGCGATAAGTATATCTGCTGTTTGAGCCCTGAAAAATATTTTTCTGAAGAAGATGATTGTAAGATTGAAAAAAACGGAAACTTCAACATACCTCTGCCTCGATCTAAGAACTCCTTGTTCCTCGATAACGTCGCATGTCTCTCGGATGCCGGCAGTGTCGATGATAGTCACCGGATAGTCGCCCAAGCGCAGATAAACTTCGATCGAGTCTCGCGTTGTTCCCGGAATTGGAGAGACGATGGCTGCCTGTCGTTGACCTGAAAAAACGCAGAACCATGTTTACAGCAAGAGAGTTGTGCTCATCGATGTCTTACATATCGCGTTGAGCAGACTGCTTTTACCAGCATTCGGGGGGCCTACAATAGCGACGCACACGCCGTTCCTTATCCTCTCGCCAGCGCGACTGCGTATCAGGTGTGAGTTCATTTCCTCGCGTATTTCAACCAACTTTCTAGCAGCTGAGTAAGCTGAGTAATTATTGAGTAGCTGGTCATTTATTAAGTATAGAAAAGCAAAAAACATCACAAAGTGAGGAGATTTAGCTTCTGCGAGGTATTATGTCTTTTCATGCAAGTAGTGAAAACAGCCGAAAACGCTGCTCTTACATATAGATTTTGGAAAGCGAACGGCAGAGGCAACCGCTAAAATATACAAATTTGAAATGGCGCCAATTCGACAGCAACACGGCGATGTTCCCTTACTTACATATGAAAAACAGTTTAACATAACAAGGCGGTTCCGAAGAATAACGAGCTAATTTCGTTAATACATCGAATCTCACTGCACTCAATTACAACCTTGCCAAAATTTGCATTCTACATTTTCTATCGTCAAAAACGTATCGAAATTTATTTTGCTTTAAATAATTAAATAAATTAAACCGGTTATTAAATGAAGTTAATCCAGTTAACAAAATATATGGTATTAATTACATAAACTTCACTACTCTAACACGATTGTCAACGGGGTGGCCAAAGCAGTAGAAGCCATTGGGAAACTGAGGCAGACTGAAAAATGCAAGAAATTACAAGGTGCATAATGACTTCTACCAGTTAGGGGATATGAAGAAAATACTTCAGAAGATAAAGCAAATTTACATAATATCTGTTGAACTACGACGAGCCATTTATAGCGGCAAAGTTGAAACGAACTCAGTGGAGAGCAACCTAATGAGAAACTGTTATCTGAAATCGTACTTTGGTCTTGGGTAGCTCGTCGCAATGGTTAATAAAAGAGTTTGAGAATATGTAAAAGCAAGAATGTAAATATCATATTATTGCAGGTGTCTGTCTGAATAAATGGTAACATCTCAGACCTACTTGGATGTAGATTTGTCATAGTTTAATAAACGTTACTCCAGTTGCTGTTACACAGAGAGAAGTTTCTGCTCAAGAAGGATTGCGACAGATCCAATAAGACCATTTTAGAAGAAAAGGATAGAATTAGGGCTGAAAACGTCAGTCGTTGACTTGTAATCACAAGTGTTGTTCGCAGTCACTGAAATAAATGCTGCTCAACACAGCGTGACGCAAAAAGCGGTTGGATATAACACAAGTAGTCGCGAGTGATCAAAACATAACAGAAGGAACTGTGATATTCTGACAGGTGCCATGGATGTTTCATGACATAACTCGTGATGACAAGCAATCATTTCAATCTTTCGCGCGAGGTACTTATTTTTCACTTTGAGGTAAATGTTCACTGAGCGTGTTTTGTACATCTGTTTATATAACGGTCGTTGCCACATTTCTCAATCGTATGCTGCTGAAGTATTGTGTGAGGCAGCGGCGATCAACTGCCCAAAGATATAAACGGCTCGACAAGACGTCATAAAACGTCATCGAATATACCATTCGAGCAACTGTTGACAAGTGAAATAAAGAACTGAAAACGAACATCAACGGAAGATCTCGTTACGATTCAGTTGCAGCCGACTGTGAACATGTTTCGTGAGTGGGTGGTTGTACGTGCTGCCAAGAGATTACGCACACGCAAAACTCATTTCAATGTGTCATTAATTCGTATCCCTTCGTTATGATAACAACATAAAACCTGAAGCAATTTGCTTTAACTGTGATTGTAAATCGTAGTTGTGATTATGCAGTTTCATGTTTGAAGTTCACACTTAAACGCCGCAGTCTTAAAGTGAAGTAAAGGTATGTATTTTGTTCAAAAAATTATCATTTTAGTGTTATGTTCAGTTGTAACGCGCAGAAGACAGCAAGGGTTCGGTTACAGGCGACGACTTTTGACGTATGATGCTCCAACGGTCATGAAATGATGAACTGTTGTCGCTGCTTCTCCGTATGTGTAAGAATCACTAGTCTTGCCATCGGCAGTATTCAACTGTCATGTTCAATTATTGCCGCCCATAGACCACTGTCGTTCAGCATCTGCTAGCACAATGGATGAAAATGCGATCGATTACGCTAGTCACCTGCTGCCATGCAACCATCAGCCATACGACATGTTTACCTATGCGGTCCGTGTGTTCCTTATGGTGCCAGTGGTACTGTTCGGAGTCGTATCCAATATCGTGAACATAATTGTGTTTCGTCACAGCCACATGCGCAACATCATGGTTAACTGGTATCTGGTAGTGCTTGCGGTCAGTGACTTGGTGGTGCTGCTGGGTAGCTTCGTGATGTTGTCATTGCCGGCGATCAGCGCCAACTCTGGCCTGCTGCCATTAATAGCGTTGGCCAGCTATGTCCAGCGATGGACATACGCTGTGGCACTGATCGGTCAGACGAGTAGTGTCGGTCTAACGGTGTTGGTCAGCGTTCATCGGTACTTCGGTGTCTGCTACCCGTTCCTTGCCCAGCGCTGGGAATCCAAATCCAGGGTAAAGACGGCAATCGGCACAATGCTGGCATTTGCCCTGCTGTTCAACGCGCCTCGGTGGTTCGAAGTGGTCACCGACACATGTTGGTCAGACGAGTTCAATACGTCAAGCATCCGCGTGGTGTCTAGCGCCTTGCGTCAGGATGACACGTACTACCAGGTGTACATGATGTACGGATATACAACGATCATGTTCGGCATCCCGTTTACACTGTTGTCGTTGGTCAGTGCGTTCATCATTCGCACCGTACATCGGTCATATAGCATACGGCAGCAGATGTCGAATAGCACCAGCGCAATCGACCAACGCCGAGAACGGCAAGAAAACAAGATCACGTTCATGTTCATCGCCATCGTTTTCATGTTCCTGACATTCAACAGTCTGGCGTTCATTAATTATATTCTCGAAACGATGGTCAGCGCTGATCAGGGGATGGAGGATGCGTTTTTGAAATCTGTTGAACTTGGCAACCTTCTGGTTGCCCTTAATTCCGCATCCAACATCTTTATCTACTTATCATTCAGCATCAAATATCGTAAGGTGTGTTTCAACTACGTCCACTGCATGTCCGCAAAAGTAAAGAGCTTGCAGCCTGAGCAAACGGTACTTATCAAGAACTTATCGGTCGCCCAGAAAATCCGGTTGAACGGCGTACAAAACAGCGACAACGCAGAAATGATAAACGACGCTTTTTGACCCGATATTCAACAAATATTTTCAGAATGCAGTAATAAACTCAACTCTCGTCCAGACGTTCATTCGAGAAACCGTAAAACAATTCACGAATGCTAAATGTGACCCGTTTCACAACTACACGCCATTCACAAAACTTCGATTTTACGTGAAAACATTATAATGAATGACTTCGCTTTTTGAATGACGCCGTGTGCTGACCATGCATTTATAAATGTTTCTTTTTCTCTCTCATGTTTTTTCCTTGTCAGCCTACTGATCACTGCTTCATCAGCATTTTCATTCCAGAAAACTACCTGTACAAGTGACAAACGGTCAGTGGTCAGCCATCCTCTGTTGACGGGCATGCCATCATAAACGCATGGAACATTCTACGGCGACGCACAACACACAATTTATTTCCATATTAATACGGCACACGCACAAATACCTGTTAACACTGTATTTTACTTATTTTACAATCGACTACTGGACCTGTTTTATACTGCATGTTTTCGAAATCGTGGTATAAAACTTAAAAATTAAAAGAAGAAAATAAATCTATCGCATCCAACTTCAAACAATAGCGAAGGAAATAGAAGAAAGGCCGGGTATAATTATTTAAGACGTAATCAGCAGGTCAATGTGATGACGGACGTCTTCCAACGCAACAGTTCGTATGTTTGTTCTTCTTCAGGACGAAATGTGGTTTGCGGGTGATTTTTGTTCATGCTGTTAACAGAAGCTGGACAGCATTCGACCAGTACTTGGGCCGCTGCAAACACTATGACTGAAAACGACTGCAAGCGACCATGATAACAACTGAAATTCACGTACTTTACTCCGAAAGTACGTTAAATATGGACCCAAACACGGAACACCAACAACGGAAGGCCAACCGATGGACCAATTGTTTGTGATATTTCAATTAGCGCGTGAAATTATGCAATTTTAGTATAAAAATCAGTCAATGAATAAAATGCACCTGCCTGCCATGCGTCTTACACTACTGCAGTATCACTGTAAAACAAGTAACGTTACAATAACCGCCATATAAATCCTCTGTCAGTATATAATAAAAAGTGATATTTGTCGGGCAGCGGAATCAGAAAACTGCCAATTCTGCGTGGTTGTTCCGGAACATGAGAGAGGGGGCTAGTATATAATTTGCTATATGTATTTAAACGGAAAGTGGCAATTTTGTTAATGTTCCAAACATGCACACGTTCGTTCCAATCTCGGTTTACGCATCCTGCGTACTGTAGGCATTTAAAAACGATGGAACCATTAACTGTTAATATGACCCCCCACCCCACCTGGTAGGCAACAGGAAGTGCATCGTCAGCGAACATAATTCGTCCTACACTAAAGCTGCATCGTTTAACTGTTTAACAGCAACCTTTAACGGTATTCGCCGTGGAAAACCCTGCATGCAAGGTATTAAAATGAAAACATTCCCTCTTCGAACTAATTTCGTCTTTTATACTTGAAGCTTATTTTGCACCTTGTGCCGATTTTTAGGCAGCTATCAGATGGGTAAAAGCGGACGCATCAGCACGCTCGTTATTTTTCGCACAATCTGCATAATCATGCAATCAATTTCTGCATAATCATGCAGAACACGAAACTGTCCCCAATATTTGTAAGTCAGTGACTCGCTTGCAACTCGTTCAACACCACGCCACTATTGCATCACCGCCTATTCCAACTGTGACCGATAAAGCAAAAGCTAGTAATGAAACAATAAAACGACTGAAACTGTGAGCAAAAAACTGCCGCCTAGCCTCTGCTAAACAACAGTGTCACTGAAAGCACAGCGTTCTAAAGGTATGACAAATTACTACTGTCAAAATACTATTTTTCCTAGAGGAGAGAAAACATGATGAAATATCAAGGCAATATGATGAAATGTAATAAGCGGAGAATGAAGGCGCATATCATTCTTGTGGTAAGCCCTAAACCCCTAACTGCACTGAACAAAGCAATCGACCGGCTAGCTGAAGAACGTCCTTGCGATCTGCAGCCGCTTCTTGGGTGATTCGAAGACAATTACGTCAGTCGCATGAATTGCAGCGGAAATGCGAGACGTCCGCCGTTGTTTCCACCAAAAATGCAGTCACTTTATCGTAGGGTGATTAACAGCGAACAACGTACGCGGAAGCCGCTTATCGACGAGTCAGACCGAGTCGGGAATGTCACATTCGTCGGTATTGAAGCTAACTAAGGGGCATCGTAAAGTGCAGAAAGGCCGAAAAATATACTATCAACAACTTGCTGCCGGTCATCAACCATCAATAAAGTTGAGGAAATATCGGGATGCGAACAAAAGAATAAAATCAATTGTTAGTGACTATCATAATAGAGATAATTCTTACTTACTTTGTGGGTTAGAGCATAATTACGAAATGACGCAATCATGTTATACATTGCATATAAATTCTGCAATATAAATAAAAGTGCGGTGTATATCAGCTCATTGTTTTCCTATGAAAAGGTGACATTAAACTTTAAACAAATTCAAATTTTGTGAAATAACTCGACAATCTGAAAACTAATTTGACAGACATTTTGGGGTTCTACTCACTGAAAGATATTAATATATGAAAATGAATATCTGCTGATGGACGAAATCTTAGAACCTTAGAATTTCGTTGGTTTGACAGAAGTTTCACATTGTGCTCACAGAGAGCCCCTCGTAGATGCATAGCTTGTTGGGTTGGATGTTACAGTCGATCGAGATGGCTAGAGTTCGACCATACAGAATCAAACGCGTTGCACTTTGAACACGACTATCGATCGTCGCCGAAATGGCCGCGCCGAATCGTCAGAGACCGTAGCAAAATGCGAAACGCAGCGCATGTAACTCAGTCATTAGCCACCGATGGACAGCCGCCACTGTCGAATGGTATTTGCTAGATCGCCGTCACCCTCGAAGAAATAAGACAATTTAATCTTTGAAGTACAAAGACCCCTTTGGCAGAGGTAGGCGCAAATGAAAGTAGAATGCAGGAGTGTTGCGACTGACACAATCTGCATGACAGCTGAATGCTTCTTAAACCAAACAAAGATATAAGACAATGAATAGACTAAAAAAGCATGGTACAGGAACAGAGACACTGTCCAGCAAAACACAATGGAGCTGATATTGCAACTATGTTGCAGCAGGTCAACAGAGTTTCTACAGTCATCGACAATAACAGCCCCATCGGTTAGAACCTTTCGCACCACTGGCTGTACATCACGACCGTAGAGTAAAACATTTCACCTATTATATGATCTGTTCAGAGGCAGCAATGATGCAACCGGTTGACATCAGCTCAATATTTTTTTTCAACCGCCAAAAAAATTGGGCACGGAATTCACTGTACTGCGCTTTGGCGGAAGTCGAGTCGACAAAGGTAGGAAGTGGGTGATTTACGGATGATATAACAGTATAGTGCACTAGTCATAACGCAACGCGCAAAATATGCTGTTTATGCATTACAGTTGCACTTTCACCTGATCAATCATACAGCTGACAAAAATAAGCAAATATGCTAACCATATTTTAAATAAATTAAATTTAAAATACTTCCTTTAGCGCTTACTGTTTGCAGATCATAGATGACTATTTCATTTTCTGGAGATCGTTGGATCAGCTGCAATGACAAATAGTGTCAGCTACAAGTGCAAATCAGGTTCAACCTCACAACAAGGATCAGAGGAAGTTGTATGCACTGCTTTATGTCACAGAACGGTATTAAACTTAACACCTATAACTACCGCACAACCACATATGAAAAAGACAGACACCAGTTGCAAGCGTCAAATTACCTGTATCTATGATGCTCCCATCAGTTCCTACGTCTTCAGAAAAATCAATTAGCGCGTCAAAGGCGGAAACAACCTAAAATTGTCGAATATGAAACAATCAGTAAAGAAAGCAATAGCAACATAAACAAAAGAAAATAAAACCACGACATTTCGGCGTAGCTAACACGAAAGGTAGCTTTCCAGTTCAGCTGATAAGCAATACCACTTAAAATGGCGAAACTGCACGCCCCTACTGTTCGCAATCAATCAATCAAAGGCTATATTAGCTTTGCACCCCTCGTTGTTATCAGTAGCATAAACCCTCTTCAAACATAAGGAACAAACAAAAAGCAAAGAAAAATATCCTTAATGATGGTCATAACGATTACTTAAAATCATAGGCAACTCTTCTGTTGCAGATCCAAACAACGGATGAGAAAAGGGGAAGGTTGGAGATCCTGGCGAACTCCCTAAAACTTACCAACCTGCTCATTATGGTACTGCCGTCATCATATATTATACCGGCTAGGTCGTCGTCCGGGTTATCAAGAGCCGCACAGGCCAATAGGAAACCGGGACACACTGCGACGAGTCGGCGATAAGAACCTGCTCATCACCTTATGGCAAACCGGGGCGAAACTGAACAGCGGCTGCCTATAATCGACGAAACGATGACAAATATACCAATCAGCACGAAGTCGCTAGCCCTACTCAACGGAGGAGGCAGACAGCGCGATGCCATTATAGCATTCAGATAAGGCACCACCGTAACGACAAAACCAGTGACAGTTTAGAGTGGAAAATTCGAACATATCCTCACTCACAGGGAAAGAGTAGCAGTTAGATCATG